CAAACTTATTAACTTGGTCGACCTAGCCAACTTTTTAAGCCTGTAATATTATGACAGAAAAATAAATTACATACTAGTCCCTTTTTATTTGATGGGACAAGCGAGCAGACGGACGAAATATATTTTTTTTTTTCAGGAAATCGTTGCCCCCTCTATCATTTTCTCCTGTGTTGTAGGTTCGATAACAAACATACAATTTCTCATACACATGACACTCAGACCCGGAACAGCAATTCGTAGATCACTCAAAGAATTGTTCCGTGCGAGAATCGAACCAGCGACACGAGCACGGCAGCCAGTTGCCCAGCATCCGCACTAACCGTGCAGTCATACTGGTAGGTAATAAGTGTGTGTCCGCCATGCTCCGGAACGAATGGGTCGGCTCGACCGGAGTGATACCACGGCCTCACAGGAAACCGGCATGAAACAACACTTACGTTGTTTTTCGCCGTGTGAGTGAGGTTACCGGCCGTCCAATACTTCCATCCTCAATCCTCAAATCCCCTGTCCTTAAATCCCTACTAAATTTTAATGACCACGATAAGAACAGTGAATAGTCTGTTCCTATAAAAGTGGATATTTTTTTTAAAAACTTCTCTTTTGGCAACCTTATTAAAAGCAAACAGTTGAGAGCTCAAATATCTCTTTCACTCACTCTTTAAAGTGGTCGAAGCAAAATTTAATTCTTTCTAGAAGTCCCAAACAATATCTAACTTGTTTAGATTATTTCTAGTTACTTTATAAAAACTTTCGCTCTACTATTAGACATAAATAAACAACAACTAAAATTATAAAGTTTAGATACTGCTAAAAGAACAACAATCTCAGATAATCGAGCGAAGTTTTATAAACTAATTGATTCCAATATACAATTATTATAACTTATTTTACTCTATAGGTTCTTTACCTACCAGGTAAACCTAACTGGTCGGTAACGAAGTATATTAACAGCTATTTTTTATTTAGTAATGTGCAGGCGTTTGGCCTCTATAAGTAAGATCACATAATCGGTAAGCGATTATGTGACATATAATGGAGCACATGTAACCATAACCAACTTAGTCACTCGGGTCTTGTAGACATCTAGGTTACAAAGTTTTCTCCGGCAAAGAATACCATTCTGACGGGGTTCTGATAATAAAACTGGAGGCGAAATATAGTTCAAAATCTGTACTGGCATAACCATGTGGTGACATTTATATTGATCGGTATGATAGCCAAAGATAGGTACTTTAGATAATAACACTCCGCAGATTCGTATCAACATAATTGACATGTACCCTATAAATAGATATTAGGTGATATCAAAAGATTATGAAAGAGCGAATGATGTGTACGGAAAAAACAAAGGGCCTATTATTGCATCACTGAGGTAGGTTGTGACGTCATAGAAGAATTTTTTTATGTTCTGGCTCTTCCCGTTGTTGTCAAATGAAACAATGAATTTATTTTTGCAAGTAGGCCTTAAAACCTTTTTGTGGTTTATGCGCCAAAATATTCTTTAAACATATAAAAAACTAGACGAAGCCGGCATTTCCTATCTGCCTACTGATCTGATAAGAAATGTCGAAACACATCGGACTTTAAAAGAGACGAAGGGGGCGTCTGAATACGCCCCCTTCGTCTCTTTTAAAGTCCAGAAAGGACAAAAAGAATGTGTGAGAATCGTTAAAGTTTTTCTGAAGTGGAATTTTTAGGAAAGAACCACACCAGTTTAAGTGGACCCATTCTGAAGACAGACACGAAGAGTCAGTTTACAACCAATTCAACTGCTGAATTGTCCGACGAACAATAGGTACCGATCGTCGACATTTGGGTAGTCGTAGAAGCCAACTTGGTTTGACCGATTGAGAGCTACAGTCAGGCAGTTGTTTCATCACCTGTAAAAGCAAGTGTTTGTCTAATTGACGAATAATTTGATGTAAATATCTCAAAATACATTTCATACTTATTTGGTATTGTTGAAACAACGCCGAATACCCTTGACATTTTTTTTGTGAAAAGCCTTGAGGCTCGCTCATCTTTTGACTTAAGAGTACCGTTGTTCCTTGAAAGTAGTAAGTATAGCTTTCCTTCATATTCACAATAGTAAGTTAATATTTTCAATTCACACCTTAGTTACTATTCATAAATATGAGCTATGGGTATTCAAGACTGCCAAAATCCCAAGTCTGTTGTCTCCACAATTAGCAGGCTGGTTAGAAATCGCGATTTAAGTTGCAAAGTCGTGGAGTGGTGTTGCACTGCGTCGCATAGATAATTTACCATAAGTCAAACGGATGTTTTCTATATTCTTTGCAGTACCTATTAAACAAATTATTATATTGGGTACCCAGTCTTTAAGTTAGTAAAGACTATGTAGGTACAATTATAGTTTTCGTTATGTTGTGTGTGAAGATATGAAAGTGATTTTCAAGAGCAATGCAAATATGTACTCAGTTCTATCATTATATCACTATCCAATAATAAGTAAAAAATATCGATTCATGACAAGAAAATAAACTGCTCCAACTGTACACACCAGCAGAACATGCTACTAGAAACTATAAAATTTATTTAATTAAATTTCAACTGTACCATGTTGTGAAAGAGTCTATAATCTATTGCAGATATTTGACAAGTTTTAGGATAACTTCATATGCAGTTTGAACCTTTATCTACTTATACGAGAGTCATAGTAATCAATCTTCTTAGTAATCAATACAATGATATTCAAATTTTATATTTTTACTATATTAAGTACAGTCAGCATAATTATTTGGTACACTGAAAAGAAAATTAAAAAAATGTGAGTCATTCTTAATTTAAATTTTAAAGTACGGAGACTTCTAGCCGGCGTAGGTAAGTGAAATGATGTGCTACGGCCCTGGCTTGGAGCAGAAGAAGGCACGAGGTTGTTGTGAACTTGTAAGTAAGGGCCTCTCCCTTTCGGCTCATACAGGACAGCCCACACACACAAAGAACGGGTATTGTACATATAACTACTTATTGGTACTTATTTATATGCTTTTTATTGAAGCCAATCTATTTTCAACCCCCGACGCAAAAAGAGGGGCGTGTTTGTCTGTCTGTCTGTCTGACTGTCTGTGGCATACTGGAGCCTGAACGGGTGAAGCGATTTCAATTTAGTTTTTTTTGTATTAATGGTGACTTACGTGCTAGTGTTCTTAGACAAGTTTGACGAAAATCGGTTGAGCCGTTGAGAAGTTATGGGGGGGTAAGTGGGGAAGGGTAACCGAAGGTCTGCAAACATACTCGAGTAATGTCTCAAATGAAAGCGCACTGAAAGGGAATGTTGATGATTTAATCGAAAGAAAATGTTATAAAAAGTAAAAAATAAAAAAAATAATTAGACCCCCGACAAAATAGATATATGTAGTTGATAATAAAATGTATGTATCGGTCCTAAACGCCACGTTTTCTTTTAATTATTACTTTTATATTATAAGGAATAGGTACTAGATATTTTTCTCGGGGGTTTTCTAAATTTTATATAACTATTAGAGGTAGACTCTGTAGCTGAAACATAATTGCACTCTCTGTACCGAATATTTTTTTCTGTCTTCAGACGTGCATTCCAAATTAATGTGCAGACTGTACCTACTAAGGTACTTACGTGTTTACTTAGACTGAAATCACTTAAGGCTTAAAGTAACTACTCATATACCTACGTATTATGTAGACGCCATTATTATAGTTCACGTATTCACACAAAACTGTTTACATAAATCCATGTTTTTGTTTTCTTTAGTACATATTACTTACAGGGAGACGGGGTTGTTTGTCTTAGCGGTCATTTGTGACGATAGGTCCATTGATCGGTGACTAAAGATCGTTTAGGCTTAAATTCTGTTTAAAAGCCTAAAGTGGATTGATACTACGGCCTCATAGAAAACCGTGTAACAACTATTGATACTTGACTTGTATTTCACCGTGTTAGTGAGGTTACCGCAGACATACATTAACTTTTATTATCTCTATGACAAGTCACCAATGAGACAACTAACCCCTTTTTTGTGAGGAAAAATGATCAAATTACTTCTTTTGACTTGATTGGGGCGAGAAGGGTTGTCAGATTCTTACTGACGGAAAACCAGCTTGTTACACGGTTTGGTTGATTTGGTTGGCCAGGAGCAGGACTTCTCCTGCTCCAGGCCGAAGCCGCAAAACATTATCGCGCTAGACCTGGATTTTCGGTTTTCCATCTTATAATAATTCCAGGTCTAAAATTGTACTCTGCATGTTCGGTATAATAATTATTAGGTGACAGTAATTCCTCTGGCGTCGTCGTGTTGTGTATTAATGATTACTTACTTATCATTTAAAAATACATATAAATTATTGAATTCATCTCTACTCGTCCATAAGGTGAATAAAATACACATGAAATTATATAAACGTAAATTCAGTATTGGTTTTCCATTGCGAATAGTTTATCGCCGAACGCAATAAATTGAAAATAAAAATAATGAAATGGAATAAATAGGCTATTTACCATCTATTATTTTGTTTGTGTCCAACGATAACTAAATCATTCACAAATTAAGATAGAGATAAAGCCAAGTCGTTTGGCGTCTAGCAAGGATTTTTCACTAATTGATTTATTGCCCCTAAACATTGAGGGATAAATTAGCACCAGTGATTAATGGTAAACAATTTATTTTCTACATTTATTGAGCAGAGACGTTAAAACAGAAAGTCGTAAATCCATTCGATATAATTAATTTCGACGGAGGGAAATAACCGGTAGATACTAAGAAATACAAATATGTATTATGTGATAAAACGTCGATGTACTACGTACCTACGTGTGTAAACACTATGAGTTACGCCCCGTCTTTGTCCGTCAGATGTGAGAAGTCGTCACAGCCGGTTATGCTAGATGTATGATGGCTAGACAATAGCCTCTACCTCTAGCAAGGTTAAATGTAAATCACTGATGTAGTGAATCGCACTACTCTTTGTAATGAGTGACGCGTTCTCCCCGATAAGCATAATATCAGAGAAGTGTAGATCACTGATAGCTTATCACCGTACCTTATTTTAATGTATCAAAAATGTTCACAATATCCAACCAACGGTCGTGTTGAGTGCGTTTAAATGCGAATTTATTGTAACCGTTCTTTTTAATAAAATAAAAATGATTGTAAGGTTATAAAGATGTGGAATCGGGCCGTTTTTTGTTGTGTGTTTTTTGTGTTAGTGTGTGCTCAGACCGGAGATGATGATGGTAATGGTTTAACTTATACATATGTATGTATATATAAACAAATGATATGAATCTAGATATTACTATGTAAATATTTGATTATGAATATTTATTATGTTCGCGTAATACCTGGATTTAATTGCACGACGTAATTGCATTCAATGTTTACTTAGTTGAAACAGAAAGAAAAATATTTATTGTTGTGTTTGAAAATACAGGGTAACAAGGACTAAAATGGATGGAAAAGTCTTTGATAGGAAATTGTACGACATGAACAACTTATTGGCAATTTACCTTAACACAATATAATGTGACTTTTCTCTGCATTGTGGAGATAGAAAATAGTGCATTCTATATCTACATTTTATTTGTACATACATTTTATTTAGTTTATTCTTTATTCTTTCTTACACTCTAAAAGAAAAGCGGATGTTCCCATTACTTCTTAAAATTTAGTATTTGCATTGACTTTACGACTAAAATCTAACCCAGAATTCGACTTAAAACGCCATCAAGATTAGTGCATTCTTTATAATGGATTTACTAAAATTGTGTACTTTGGAATATAATATATTTTCATCATTCAGTAGATTTATAATAATTCCCCAACACGACCACTGCAACAATTTGCGTGATGGAGATACCTAACTTCACGAAATGTGTATTTTCTAAGTAATTTTCACTTTAAATTTGGAAACACCTTCTCTTTTGACTTCATAATTCGGTATGCATGACAACGGACAAACACATTATAGTTGTGTTTGCAAGCAACCAACGTAATTACCCCATCCCTGTATCGTTTGTTCTACCTGTGTAGAACAAGCATGTATTTGGTATGACATACGGCCTAGCTAGGATCAAAAGTGCGATTGTACTCTTCCAATGCGAAAATTTGTAATACAAGTTCTAGAATCTGAAAATCTGTCATTAATTACTTTAGAGTCTATGCTACAAGTTAATCAGTAAAGGAACCTCTGGCCCTAAACCATAAAAACATTTTAGACACTTTAGCATTGGTAAAGTGCAAATGTTAATTCAGTGCAGAGCGTGTAACCATTGTTTGGCTACTGAGCCGACATATTGCTGATTTCGAAAATAGCTGAGCTGATTTCGAAAATAGCCCTTGTTCAGGTCAATAGCTAACTAAACACATGGATGAAATAAAGTATGGTATTACAACGCCGGGGTTCTTTTTGGCCTATGCTTAATACCCTTTTTCAAATTGTATGTACTACTTTTTATGATTATTTAGACACCACTGACATACGATATGTAGGGTAAATATCGTGACGAAACCTGGACCTATAATTTCTTGGTATAAGTTTGAAAGCGCCAAACTGCCTTGAGCAAGCGTGGTGATTAATGCTCAAACCTTCTCGCATGGAAAAAGGCCTACGCTAACGACTTAAAGGCTGATGATATAGATACCAAATAAATGGACTGACTGTACCTTTGATTTCATTTAGAGTGGGGGCAATCATAAAATGACTTTCAACTTGGATGGGGAGAGTGGGAGTGTCAGACTCCTGCTGTCTAAACCCTCCCTCCGTTCCTTCTCCTGCTCCAGACCCTTCTGCGCTTGCTCGGGCTAAATCGCCTGATCAGCCCTACAGGGGCCCATCTTTTGCTCTTTTACCTCAAAAAACCATAGACAACGATTCTTTTTTCCTCCCAGTCTTTTTAACATGGACTTCGTTGCTTCGTTGTTCATTGTATAACATAGGAATGTTATTTTAATCATCCTTTGCACCAACAAGACCATTGTTGTAGATATATTTCAAGTACACTTTAGAATTTCTTAACTTTTGTTTATATCAATCAAAAACAAGTGCTCTTGTATCTAGTGTTGAGGATTCTCTTCCTGTTCCTATACAGAACGATTTTAATGTTAAAATCATTGCGCAATCGTATTAATTGAATATTTAATTTGTTAAAACATTATTTACTTACGTTGTCCCTTTCGCATTCTTAATCATCATCGTCATCATACTAACTGCTGAACATATCTCCCCATTAACCTTTCGTATGTCTTAAACATGGATCCACGCGAGACACAATGTATTTTCTATTGTGTCTTATAAACCGACATTCAACGGGTTAACTTCTATTTTAAGAGGTTCCCCTCTTAAAATTATCCAATGATCGTCCACCTGGGTTAGGTGAATAGGTATGCGCGACGTACTGACTCAAAACCATTCCGTTCTGTCACCTACTGACTGACTGATTCGAACCGTTTAACATCGTTCATTGCCCAGAGCCCAGTTTCCTAACGACGTCTAGATCGGTTGAGTAGAAATGACTTCTTTTCTAATAACTGACACTCGAGCATATAAACTTATCTCAATTGTTAGGGTTAGAAACATTGGGTAGGTAAGAGTAAGTCTTTCGTTCGTGATTAACCATCCAATGTCTACTGATGTGCGAGATTCTCTGAATCTTAGAATAGAATAGAATAGAATAGAATTCTTTATTTGCAAAGAATGTAGGTACAAATTATTTGGTGTTACACAGTTTTAAGGTTCCTTGTACATTCTACCATAATTGGCATGCAAATTTATATAAAAGAAATTAAAAATTAAAAAACTAAAATTAAAAAATTAAAACTAAAAAATTAAATTAAAACTTATCATCCAAAAATTCTTGAACTGAATAATAACACTTGCGCAAAAGTAATTCTGTAACGTGCTTTTTAAATTTTGTTAGTGGTTGTTCCTTTACAATATTCGGTAGCTTATTATAAACAAGTGGCGCCATACAAATAACGCTTTTTCTTAAAAGTGTTGTTTTGAAAACACCCGTGCTTAACATATTTTTGTATTGGGATCTAATACTTATTGTTCTATTTCGAGTTTCCTTCAAGCTTGTAAACAGGTGTGAGTTTGTTTTAACAAATATACATAATTCAAATATATAAAGACATGGAAAGGTTAATAGTTTATGAGACTTAAATATAGGTAGACAGCTGTCAGTTACTTTTAGGTCAAAAATAGCTCTGATGCAGCGTTTTTGAGCTTTAAAAATACTCTCTTTCTCGCTGCAGTTGCCCCAGAATATTACACCGAACCTTAAAAGTGAAATAACTAGTCCGTGATAGGCAACCAACACGCTAGGCAGGTCCACTTTTTTGGACAAATTGTGCAACATGAAAGCAGATGTACTTAACCTCTTACAAATACTCTCTGCTATCAATATATATATATATCTCGGCTATCAATGAGTATACCCAAAAATTTTGCAACATCTACTGTGCCAACAGCTTGGCCATTGTGGTTTATATTCATGGTATTAGGAGGGACTCTTTGGTAAAAATGCATAACTTTAGTCTTTTGAAGATTTATTATTAAATTATTGTGATTTAACCAAATTATTAGAGAACTAAGAGTGTTATTAATGTCTTGTTCATAATTTTGTTTATTGGTACATTTTATTAAAGACGTACTGTCATCGGCAAATAATACCATTGGATTAGGTGTTTGGCGGGGGAGGTCGTTTATATACAATAAAAACAGTAAAGGGCCAAGAACGCTACCCTGAGGCACGCCATATTTTATTAATTTATATGAAGATCTGTATTTTAATTCCTTTTTTGTTTTTAGACATATTCTAGATACCTCAGTACATTGTCTGCGACCGTATAAATACGATTTTATCAAATTCAGTGCGTTTCCTCGAATGCCGTATGCTTCAAGTTTTTTTATAAGGATATCGTGATTAACATAGTCAAACGCTTTGGACATATCTGCATAGATTGCACATATACTTAACATCTACAATAGGCAGTATTTTGAAAAGGAAATCGTAAATTGCCATATTAATATTTTTATTTTTTCTAAAGCCCTTCTGTTCTTCGCATAAAATATCGTATCGATCTAAAAATGTGTAAAGTCTTTCATAGATAACTTTTTCAATTAATTTTGATAAAACAGGTATCAAAGTAATGGGTCTGTAGTTTGACATAGTTTCTTTGCAGTTCTTTTTAAAAAGAGGTTTCACAATAACTGTTTTGAGGCTTTCTGGAAATATTCCGCTGTAAATGCTCACGTTAATTATATGTGCTAGAGGAGAAGCTATGCAGTCAGAAACAGATTTAATAACTTTAGTAGAAATCCCGTCGTAGCCAACACTCTTCTTGTTTTTTAAAGATTTCACAATACGAATAACATCTTGGGGGACTACTGGTTGCATATAAATTGAATGGGGATTGCTGTTTATATTTATTGGGTTATTTGAAGATGTGGGTTTTTCTAAAACTTGGTCAATAAAGTAATTGTTGAATGACTCAGCTATTTCTTTTGGATTATTTATATATTTTTCTCCTTTTTTTATTTGTGTAATAGGTTCACTTGTTTTTTTTGAATTATTAACTTTGTTTTCAAGTGTGGGTTTTATTCTTTGTTGCCAGAGTAATTTTCGCTGTCTCTTGCTGCATATACGTATGCCTCGGGATAACCACCTAATCCTTTTTTCAGTTTTTATTGTCACTATTTTATAGGGAAAACATAAATCATGTAAAAGTAGAAATATTTCTAGGAAATTGTCATAGGACTTATTAGGATCTTCAGTGGCATATACATCAGAAAATGATAAACTCTGAAGATAGGATTTAAATTTCATTAGGTTTTCAGCAGAATCATCGCGTCTTAACGTTTTCCAATATTTAATCTGACACGACTTAATGACTTTCACCTTTAATATTTGGGCTGTATGGTCTGATAAGCCGAAATCTATTACCTCCGATTGACAATTATGTTTACAGTTGCGGGCAAAGTTGTCCAAGCAAGTATTACTGCTGAAGCGAGTTGGTTGATTAATTTCTAGCTTTAGGTTGTAACTTGTAAGAAAGCATTCGAAGTCTAACGTAATCCTATTGTTTTTTAATATGTCTATATTAAAGTCTCCGCATAATATAACTTTTACACTTTTCCTTAAACATATTCTTTTTAACACAATATCTAAATTTTCATAGAATTTGCTCAGGTTACATAACTTACTGACTAAAAACGTCCCGGTTGTTTTCTTGCTCCGAGCTTCTTGGGGGTAACCATGACATTCAAAGTAAGACTGTTTAAATCTTACTTCAGTGTGGGAAAGAGACAGAGCTAGACAACTTGTATAGCTCTTTCTCTTACCCACACTGAAGTACGATGATTATGGAACTTCATGGTTAGCCCCCCCGTGTACATTATTGCCTTTGCACTTCCAACCTAGGCTGGACGTGTTGGTAGAAAGTAGTTGGCAAATTTGCAATTTGTGAAAGCAATGCTAAATGGATAATAAATGGAATGGAAATAAATTAAAGATTCGCCATGACCTTCGAAAACGCCATTTTTTTCCGAAACTATGTAATTGTAACAACTTTGACAGTAGGTGTAGTCTGTAAACCGTTATAATTATGATAACAAGCAAATCAAAGCAAAGATGATTTTAAAAGAAAATAATGCGAAATTACATAATTTGCAACCTTATGCGCACCACGACAAAACTTCGTTAATGCCGGGAGCTATACAAGCGATGAAACTCTAGTATAAATTTCAATCAAACTCAAATCTGGCATCAATATTGTATTATTGTTTATCTACGAGATTAGCGCTGGATATTAATTAATTGCAATTTAATTAGAAAGATATATACCTAATATTTACTAAGATCATTGTGTATGATTGACGACACTAGCTACTAGCTCAGTAGATACTATTATCTTGCTAAATTTGAAAATTGTATGTAGTAACTGCGGCTACAAGTAGATCTTATTTTGAATATTATATTATTATGTATCTAATAAGATACATGTTAATTGTTAGTATAATTACTTTACCAATATTTTTACTTTTCAGTGCTATTTTTATCTATCATTCAGATGTCCTTAAAGTAAATTGTCTTACTTTCTTAATAGCCAACCCATGAAAGAGTGCCTAGTTTATTTACTTGACAAAAATCTTACATTGACATCTATTAACTTAGTAAGGCCTTTCATAACGTCTGAACAACCAATAAGTACCAGAATTTGATTACAGAATTATTTTATACCTATATATTGAATATTTGTATCGGTATTGTTAAACTCTTGCTGACATAAAACTACCATGTGCCTTCTTCTGCACCAAGTAGGAACCGCGGTTTTTTTTTTGTCAGAGAAAATTCATCAAATGATTTCTTCCGCCTAGTGTTAAGCTAGAGAGAGTGTCAGGCTCTTACGGACTAAAAAAACGCCCCCGTTCCTTCTCCTGGCGGCCGTACATTATTGAAATCAAACCTGCAACCTCGACTACAAACAAGGCCTAACAATTTAATGTATCTACATTTTTACAGATCAATCCGAAGTTCTAATTCACATTTTAAAAATTCTCATTAGCAATACGACTTTATACATATTTAAAATGAACTGATATGGTTGACCATAAAAATCAAAATTATCTTATCAAATAGATAGCCTCAATTACAGGCAAATAAACATTAAAATATACCATCACAATCTAGATTCTAGATAGAGAAACTCAAACAAATAATAGAAATTAGGTATTTAGGTAACCTCAGATCTAATCAATTAGGTGAACTAGAAAATATAATTAGTTACATAAATATATTTAATTGAAGATGGAAAACAGTTCATCGCGTAATTTTATTTATTTGTTTACTTACTAACTATTGCCGGCGCAATTATTATTATTATTTCGCGTGGAATTGTGATTTCCTGCAGATTTTTGGTATAAAAATTAAGGCCTATGTCCTTTCCCGAGTTGCAATTTATGTCTGTACCAAATTTCACAGAATCAGTAGTATAGGCGTGAAGAAAAGACACACAGACCGAGTTACTTTCCCATTTATAATATTATTTTGGATAGTTTGGATATGGATTCTTAGGGAAACTTACAGACTAATGATTAGAGTTACATTTAAATAACTTAACCGATTTCTAAAGCTGCTAAAGACAAGCGCCAACCTTTAAAATTTTAAAATTTTATTTATAAATGTTGTTATCAGTAAAATTATAATTCAGTTTAATAGCACGCATTTATGAACTACGTCAATATAACGTCCACAACATGGACGCATACAACAATTTTTTAATACATTACGTCTGATTTGACAAAGAGGAATTTGACTACATCTAATCATCCACCTGAGTGAGAGAATTGAGTCCAGTAGGGCTCATGGGCAGCCGGGGCTGCGGATGCAAGCGCAATGACTTTCTGCGGTCCAGTACGGAACAGGAGAAAGAAGGGATTTTTTGTCAATAAGACTAAGACACTACCTCTCGCCCGATCCAGTGCTGAGATCATTTGAAGATTTAATTACCAAAAAATATCCATTCGGGCCTTAATATGAGGAACCCAAACCAACCACTAAACTGCTAGTTCACATAAACCGAAGCATGTTTCTTTAATCAAACATAAACCGGACTTGGTAGTTAAACCGAATCTTCATAACTTCCGTGAACTGTTTTACGGCTTTATTTTAATTCAGCTTACATAATCAAATATGTTTAATCATTGTAATATGCAGTAAGTTATTTGTGGCCATGAAAATTGTTTTTATTGTATTATACAAACGTAACTAAGATTTAACAAAGCAAGAATGAAAATCCTAAACGAAAAAGTTGTCATGTCATTTTTAGTAGTAGATAATGTTCAAGGATAACTTATTGTTTATGCTTCGACATATAATTGACGGACAGACAGATAGAATAATTACTTTATTTGTTACAGACAAATGTTTGGAGATAGACTGTGTTGGAGAAGGATATGAATGTATTGATGGCATCTGCTATTGTGCCAAAGGTTATATACCAAACCACTTCCAGGACAAATGTATGAGATGTCCAGGTAAGTTGATTAATTTCGAGCTTAACCAGAGCCCTTATTCGGGTATCCCCGAAAGTTAATGTCTTACAACAACCTTAACCTTAAATCAGGTGAAGCTCAGGAAATCCATTGCGCATTAATCTTTGAATGTACAACTGAATGGAGAAAATTTTGGAAATAATTATTTACTGGTTTTCTATGATAAAACGAAGTTTACTTTGCCCAATTATCATTAATAACTATAGGACTGAATAAAAAAACTATACATGACGAAGACAAAACCTCGCTTCAGTTAAAAATGAGTGAACTCTTTGAAGGCTGTCAGACTATCCATTTATTCATACATACACGAATACATAATAATAAAACCATGAATAAATACTGTATAAGTCCATAGACATACTCGTCATAATAACGTGCGATGGTCATAAATTAATATTAGACAAATTCAAATTCAAATTAATATTAGACATTGTAGGCTCACAGCTACATTAATAACCCTCTCTGGGTTATTGTACTGATAACTGGAACCCACGTTAAGCCACAATATCTCAGTAGGTACTTATGGTACTTGATCCACTATCTAGAAAACTTTGTGTTCAAACGATTTCTGATAGAATTAACATCATTGTTTTTGTCTTTGACACCTTATTACATTGACATACGAATTATATGTATGTAGTTATGATATAGTAAATTCATAGCCGAAACCGTACCTGTGTAAATTCAAACGACACAAGCACTAATTAGTAACAGAAACAGTAACGAGAGCGTCTCTATTTCAGGATTGGGAGAGACTTGTATGGGACCGTGTTGTAACATATACGGGAATGGGACCCTGTCGTGTTGGCAAGGAGTGTGCCAGCCATGCTACGATGACTTCGGAAAATGGACTTGCAGGTTCGCATACAGTTTTTAAGAAGCATTTTGTGGACTAAATGGAAACCGACTTACGGGAGATGCAAAGGCCTTGTACCTACTCGGAATCGTGGCATATTTGGCACAAAAATTGCACCTGCATTAGCGAATTGGTTTGGTTTCGTGTGGATTTGTTTGTTCTTATAAGTAAACCTAGCTTTATTGCAGAATTCTTGCACGCATATTTTTTTTTTATTTGCATGGGAGTTTTGGTAAAAGTTTTATATACCTAGGTAAGCAAGAGGTTGACAGAGGAGCCTAAAGAGGGGATTGGCCAAGAGACGAGAGCCTTTGAGTCCCGCTAAGGTACCTAGGTACATGCTTATCAGATTTGCCAGGTGGTGGCTAGTGCATTATCAGTCGCTCAATAATCTTTCATAAATTTCAGTTCGCTTTTCTATCTTTTTCTCTTTCTATTCAGTAATAGAATAATGAACGTAAACTTATTATATCATCAACTGATGTCATGGGGGAAAAGCAATCGTTGACATGAAATAAAACCTTCATTTTAAAGATCGAACACATATCATTCTGAGGCCGCTATCCCATTTGCTCTTTTTGTAGCGTTAACTTCAACGTCGCGTTTGCGCATCGTCGATACGATTTTTTCAGGTATTTGTGTTTATTTGAACAACATTCGTCTTCTTTATTTCTTTCTTTTTCAAATGTTGCCCTACACCCGTGTTTTCTTCTTAGTTATGAAAAACATAATTTTGTGTAGGTAAATTAAAAATAAACAAAATATTACATTTGAATTTGGAATCTGTCATTTTTATATAATGTTTCATTGTGTTTTCTTATTTTGGCGCCAATAAATTGTTCAATATTTTGCGATATTAAAATGGAGTGGGGTGATAAAGAGAACCGAATTGCTGTGATTGCATTACACAAAGTGGGTATGGAGCCAAATGCAATTTTTAAAACTCTCCACACGCTTGGCAATAATCAAATGTTTGTACCGGGCTATTAATAGGTACAATGAGACTTCCTCTGTTTGTGACAGAAAAAGATCTGGCCGTCCACGTAGTGTTCGTACGAAAAAGGTGGTCATGAAGCAGTAAGGGAAAGAATTTGAAGAAATCCTGTCCGAATGCAAAAGATTTTATCACGGGAGAGGCTATGTATATAACACTTGCACCTTAAAACCATGATAGGTGGATCGCACAAACAATAAATTTGATTCTGGACACGTTCACAAATCATTAAAAACTTAATTTTAAACTTCCATTTAAAAAAATCAAGTTGTTGGAGAAAATATCCATTATATTTTTTAACGGGTATCAAACGCGATTCGAACCAATTGAACACGGTTCGGTTCCTGACATTCTTTAGATACGTATCGACTGATGTTTTGAAAACCATTATAGTGTTTAAGTTTGGAACTAAAACACTTACTAACATTTAAAAGAACCTAACATTTGAATACCTACTCTTTTTAATCTTTTCTTGTGCTTTGAATTCGAGCTACGCCGTAGCATGTCATTTGTAGAGAATCGAAAACGACAGCTACGAGAATAGGGAAATGCTACGTAAATTTCCAGCAAGTGAAATAACACATAGAGTGTTAACAATTTATTTTAAAATTTAAATACATTCGCTTTCCGTTTTTGGCGTTCTTAAGAGATTGCGTGTTTGTTTTTATTTATGGGAGTAAGCCATCCAGCTACTTCTGTAGCCTTAGTTGGGGTGAGTCCATCTCTTGCTGAGTAAAAAACCTTTTCTTCTCCTGCTCCGAGCTAGGACCGCGGACAACCCCAGCTACGAGATTGTGTTGAGTCATCTTTTTTTGTTAAATTATCAGAAAATTCGGAAATTAAATATAATTTTATCAGAATTATACAATCAGCTTAAAAAATATGAAAAAGGTAGCCACAAAATGCAACACTAAATATACAATATCACTATCACTATCCCTATATTACCAAATCTTTCAAATCATGTTCATGTTAAGTTTAGTAAAAACTAAAACTGTATCTATGTAATAAAGCAAATAATAAAAAACAGGAAACTAAACTAACCTTTTACTAGGTAATCAAAGAACCTACTCACAAAGATATCATTACGAAAGGATCAGCGATGAAGTTGATAATATTGTTATCAAAATGATTACGAATAATTTTGATTTGCAGTGATTATTATGATATTACGAGTTTGTGCCAACAAGTTATCAACGACAATAATCTGTATGTGAGCAAATAGCTTCACTAAGAGGACTGACCGACAAACTGATCTTTAAAATTTTGTTTAACGTTCAAAAGTGCCTGTAATGTTTTAATTGAAATAAATGATTTTAACTTGATTTACAAGCGGTGTAATTCCATATATTGAAATAGCTTTTTCGTTGTATTCTCTATTTGACCCGAAGGCCTAACTTGTAGAGAATGATATATATCGCAGTAACTCTGTCTTCGTAGCTGATTCATTGATTCATCATAATTCATTATGTATGTTTTTGTACACAAAAGCGTGAATAAATAAAACTCAGTGCACATCGAGGCGTCTGATCTGCTCGGGCCTTAAAGACTTGCCGATGGGTAAAGCAGAATAGCAATATTATAATGGCAAACCTCTCTTTGAGAAGACCCAAAGTACATCAGTGGACTGTCAAGTTATGGACACGATATGGATGATGATGATAATTTTCATTATTGACAATAGCTCTGTCCCCAAGCTAGATGACTTATGTGTATAAAGCATATTTATGACTGTCATATACAAACAGATTTAGACCGTGGCCCGAAGGTACGTGCACCAGTTTCAAATGCAGTATCTTTACCCTAGTAAGGATAAGGTACGAATATGATTGTCTATACGTATGTTGCAATTTAAAAGATTATTAAAGCATTACGGACAAACCATGAAGGAAAACATTGTAAGGAAACCTTCTGTTGTGATTTATAATTACCTTTGTACCTTATATGTTTGTAATTAATTCACCTTTAGAAATTACTCATTATTTCCTCGCCATGCATCAGCAGTGGCACTTGATGATCACATGCTGATGATGATAACTTTCAACCAAACAAACAAACAGACAAATCATTTATCCTATTAGTAAAGATTTAATCAATATGGTATTTGATGTTGCATTCCAGGGAATCCATAGAACAAATTCTTCTGATTTCCAGCACCCAGGTGATAATGGGCGCGGCGCTCATCCTCGGGATTATAGCGACGTTCATACTCCTCTACAAACTTTGTGCTACTACAGATATAAGGTAGGTAAAACTATTAAAATTTGATCCTTTTGGTCTTTGGTATTTTGACAGGCAGGAACCACACTTGCATCTGACCTGCACTTTCCAATACTTTAAATTCAATACTTTACTGATTTTTTTTTTATTTACACAGTTTAAAGAGTTCCTGGGTACTCTATCTCTGTCATAGACAAAAACAAATAAAAAAAAAGCTACCTACTAGGTACCTATTCTTTATGAATTTTGTATGAAATCGCAACGTATGACGTCATAACAAATACCTACTGATTTCTGATAAATTTAAAATCTAAAATTTAGAATATCGTCAAAACAATGATTGAAAGTAAATTTATATTTTAATTATTCATTGTATTGAAAATTCATAGTAATTTATTTTTGATCTGAGTAACTAGCGAACTACATTTGGGGGGGGGGAATCAGCGAATGACTTCTCTCGCCCAGGTTATAGCTAGAGGAAGTGTCAGACTCTTCGATACCTACTGACAAAAATACCCCCGTTCCTTTTCCTTCTCCAGGGCGAGGCCGGGGTACTTTATTTCGCTTCACCCGCGAACCTAAATATTGGTACCTACTGCGATAAAATAGCTTATTTTGAAAATATTATTATGTTTTATATTTCCTTTCCTTTCAGGCCCTTCGGATCAGCATCTAACAGTGAAGGCAGATTGTCAATTGGAAGTCTACAGTTGTATGTTGACGAGCGATTGCGAGATGCTCCTCCAAGGTAATAATAATTAATTATAATTATACCTACAAACTTGTATATTTAATGATTTCATTTTCTTACTAGCTGCTCTCGTGCGGTTTCACTCGTTTCTCTGCTCCTACAAATCGTAGCGTGATGATTTATAGCCTAAAGACTTCCTCGATAAATGTAGGTACTTACCTACTAACAAATACAAAAATAATTACTTATGTCGAACCAGTAGTTTCGGAGGTTACCTAAAGCGTTAAAACAAACAGACTCTACAGCTTCATATACATATAATATTAGTATAGATATTACCTTTAATTAATGTAGGTAGGTAAACATAATTTATATCGTAATTAGTAGCACTGGCAATAAGGAAATAAGCGATTAGATCTACCTTAGTCCCTAAGGCTCGGCATTAGCGGGAAACAGATTTATTAATGCAAAATGATTAGGTACTTATTTAAAAACATCTTATGGTTACTTAAACCGTGTAATCCTGACTCCCAAAGGGGATGGTATTAAGAGGAAGGCTTTGGTGTTTAAATTAAATAATAATTACAGCTGGCCTAGTTTAAGCGGTAGGGATTATCCTGCGATCAACACGCGTAATTGTATGAAGCGGTAGGAGATGCTAATAGATAATTAAGGTATAACTGAATAAAACACCTAAGACCATTTGGGAGCCTTTAATATCCGCAGTTGCAAGCAAGTAGGTTTGGCAGAGCCAAGCTTTGGCACGAATGGACCGGCTCGACCGAAGTGATACCTACCACGACCTCAAAGAAAACCGGCGTAAAGCGACACTTACATTGTTTCGCCGTGTGAGTGAAGTTACCGGAGGCCCAATCCTCCCCCCTCCTCCATCTTCAATCCCCAAAATCCCTATCCTTAATAACTCACAAACCGGCAACGCACTTGTAGTAATTCCCATGGTATTACGAGTGTCCATCAGCGACGCTGATTGCTTACCATCAATCAAGGAGTAATCTGTCTGAAAAAAAAAGGAATATCAAATTATTGACCTAAAATTTTATTTTTCTTTTTTAGAAGTGCTATGTTCAATTTCAGTTTGATTTTAATCGATTTCTTTATCTAGATAACATTGCAAACTGATTATATCTCCCAAATGATAGACATCTCATCCCTTATCAGAATAAAACGATTACCTAATCAATCAATTGTCGTCTCATAATAACTGGTAAAATGTAATCGCCAAGCTAATCTACCTGCGCGTATCTACAGAGTGTCACATAATTATTATTTTCTGATTGATAGTAGGTAATCAAACAATCAAGCCAGCACCTAGTCCTAGTTTGTTACTTAATGAGGGTACCCTGAAATGTTTACCGTGAGAAGGCAGCTCTGTAGCATCAAGTCCAACAACATATTATTTATTATGTACACGATTTATATTGTCGAAAACTGGCAAAAACCAATGTGAATTTTTCCAAGTTACATGTCCTTCCTATAATTAGACACCACTGACATTAAAATAACTAAACGTTCGGTTATAATCTGTGCTATCTGACAGTTGTTTTTGGACGTTAAGCATACGAAGCGCCGCCTGGCGGCAGAAAAAGTAGTTCGTGGGTGGACTGCTGGTATGCGTAACTGCCGATCCTGTGATTTCAGTTTAGATTCTAGGATCAGACAAAGTACCTATAAGTATTTCAATATCGCAAAATTTTGGTGATCTGCCATAAGTCTCAGGTCTTATTACATTGTACTCAAACGTACATCTATACTAATATTATAGAGGTAATATTTTGTAAGTTTGTATGTAGGGGTAATCTTTGAAACCGATGGTCGGATTTCCAAAACTTTTTGACTGATAGATAGCTACAATATTCCTGAGTGCTATATGCTATAAAACATCACGCTACGACTAAATGGAGCCGAGCAGCGGGTGAAACCGCGCGAAAGTAGCTAGTAATTGATATAGCACTTACTCTGTTTAGCCCACTAGGAAATAAAAGTACCAAATATCGTCTTGTTAGGGTTTTGTTTTGAGATTGAAAATCATCACGTGACTTTGCCTCGGGTGAGGCGAGGGAAAGTGTCAGTACCTTACTGACTTAATCGCATCCCGTTTTTGTTCCTGCTCCGGACTAGAGCCTGGAGTATACTATTGCGTAACCCCATGTTCCATAGTGTTAATGTAATCTTCTCGATTCCAGATATTCTCGGACACCGGCAGCAGGGTCAGCTACATATCCCGCCATAGCGTTTCTCAATGCTGGATTTGTAAGTACTTACCTACTTACATTTCTGAAGTCTAAATACCTATAGAAACCAAGAGGGCTATGTCTGACGGCACCAAATAACATTTAACTGTGATTATATTCTTTTATTTTGACTTAAAAAAGTGTGTACTTACCTTGACTGCACGGTTGGTGCGGTGGCTGGGCAACTGGCTGCCGTGCAACGTGTCGCGGGTTCGATTCCCGCACGGGTGTTCCGTGCGGGAATTGTGTGATTTACAAATTGTTGTTCCGGGTCTGGGTGTCATGTGTATGTGAAATTGTATGTTTGTAACAGCACCCACGACACAGGAGAAAATCCTAATGTGGGGCAACGTTTTTATAAAAAATAAATAAAATAAAATAAGTGTAGGTATGTGGACAATTGCTGAACGATAAATTATGTAGGAATAAGCCAATTTCGTATTCTTCTATTATTAAATTGCTCGTGGGAGAAATGCGAATATTATAAATGAAAAAGTTATTCTGTATGTCTAGACAGACATACAGAATAACTAAAGAAAAGACTTTCTTCACGCCTAAAATGCTGAACCGATTTCTGTGAAATTTGATACACATAGTATGGAACTCGAAAAAGGACACAGGATAGTTTTTATACCAAAAATCTGCAGGAAGTCACTATTCCACGCGACCGGATTCGCAGGCAAAAACTAGTATAAAACAATTTATACATTGTCATAACCTAAGTTCATAAATTAATATGATGTTTAACTACGACTATAACTAGAAGTCGTAGCAACGCCCAACCTAAATGTCAGATCGTTTGTCGTGCAATTCTGCTCAATGTCATGCACTGTTTGAAACTTGAGTTCCCTCGACAAACAGTGTGGCAAGTAAGCAGTTATAAAAATAATTCATTTTAAATTATTTTTTTCCAGATTCACGACAGCAGCATCCCGCCTCCGCCTTACACGCCAGAAAACAAAACAGAAGACAATCGGAATACAATCAATCACATTTGAATATCAGAACCGCTCAGTATTGTTTTGAACCTTAGCTTACTGTAAATTAAGTAGATTAATCTTTAACAAGTGATCATAATACATTTACTGTTCTTATTTATATTTTTATTACGTAAATATGTGTTTTATTTCTTTTACTCCTGGTATTTTGAGTAATGGTTGAAGTAGCTGCGGGATTTAGATAAGGATACCGCATCGAGAATCACATCGTCATATCGTTCAAAAAGTAAGTAAATAATTGTCTTGGGTATACATACAATATACATACATTACAGTGAAAATATTAGTCATCACTAGGAAGGTACCTACGTGGTACAAAATGAAGTCGCTTAGGTACTCTATCCCTATATCCCTGTGTATGCTTAAATCTTTAAAACTACGCAACGGATTTTTATGCGGGTTTTTCAATAAATCGTGATTGAAGAAGGTTTTTATATTTATGTAGGTACCTATTTTCACATCAATAAAATAGTAGGTAAATTAATGTCAGCATTGTACCCGTGCAAAGCCGGGACGGGTCGCTAGTAGAGTAGATGTATAAATACAAAAATAAATTTAGTCCCTAAACTTGACTGCGTTACATTGATACAACCATACACAAAAAGTATTTCAACTTTAACATAATGTTGCAAAGCAAAAAAGTCTGGTTAGGTTCATACCTATACTAATTTCACTTGGTCTTAAAGTTGTGTTACGTTTTTCTTTATACATAATTATCATGGTCGTTTGTATTGTAAAGAAATAATATTGGTTTTTTAATTAATATTAGCAATTTTTCCTAGTTCCTCACATATTAAAACCCCTCTTCCCTGGACTTCAACAAATATTTCAAGACCATAATTCACTTAGTTGGTACAGCAATTTCAGAGTTTTAGCGAGACTAACAATCTACATCATTTTTCTATAATTATAAGAAGAAAATATTAATAAACCTACCAGTTCTATAAGTAGACCAACACCAACATTGAATATTTGATTAGACTACTAAAAGAACCTTTAAATTAAAATAAACCCTCTTTTATATTAATCAACTGTTACACTCAAAAACATTTCATGATTAAGAATTTTAACTATTCTTTCTTAACAATTTTGTGCAGAAAAGGATTGGGTAAACATTTAGAATTTAACAACTTTGAGTATAGTAGTGTACCTAAGTCTTTCACATGTATAATAGGAACCCTGTACCTAGACATAAAAGTATAATGAATTGTAAAACATTTTTACGAGCTATTAGTTCTGTCTTACAAAATATTGAGAACAAGCTATTCTCGCGCAGTTTCACCCGCTGCTAGGCTCCATTTGATCGTAGCATGATCTTTTATAGCCTATAGCACTCAAGAACTTGTAGCTATCTATCAGTGAAATAATTTTGGCAATCCAGTTCCAAAGATTACCCCCTACATACAAACTTACAAATTGTACCTCTTCATAATATAAGTATAGATTTAGCTTAATACTAAAAATCCAGCAAAAAAATCATACTAATACTATAAACACAAAAGTTTGTTAGTATGCATGGTTGAATGTTTGTTATTATTGTACACTAGCTTTTCTCGCGCGGTTTCACCCTCTGCTTGAATAAGTTTTTATAAATATTAGTACAGACATTATATTCAGAAGTAACATAGACTACTTTTCATCTGGGTAACGCGAGTGTAGCCACTGACAGAAGCTGGAAAAAATACGACAGATTTGGATAGAAAATTCTATTCACATAAGTTTTGACAGTATGTTAGTGAACATAGCTTAGGTATAATGTAGTTCAAGTAATCAGTTAGTCTGTAAGGGTGGTCAATGCCGCTACCAAATCACCCCGATGTTCTCTCAAAGTTCTTTCTGCTAATGTTCTTGATATTTCCAACTCCTTTACCTGAAATTTATAAATTTTGTATTAAATTTACTTTTATAAGAGATTCCTAAATTGACTATATTGTATTCCTGTACTGAAGTTAATGTGTATTTTATGATTTTTAATAATTGTTGATTTTGGAGGAGTTTAGTTATTTTTAAGTTATTACAACTTTTCATTACAATTTACACATAAAAAATAACATAATTTCATTAAATGTTTAAGCATTATTTTTACAAGTATTTGTTCTTATAAGTACATGGCTTTTAGCACAGATAATACATGGAGACATGGAGCCCTTTACTAGGCTATAGGAAAATGACAATTAAATAGTAAACCAATAACTTAATACTTACAATTAATTCTATATCATCCTTTTTCACAGAAACTTTTTGCAGTTCTTTCTCCTTTTCAAGACGCTCAGCAGCCTCTTTGTTTCTTCTGTCACCGATTAACGACAATGCCTGTAAACATTATTATTTAAGTGTTAAGTAGGTTTTATAGAATCAAAATAGAAGTAGAACAACTTGAAGGAACACATAGGTAAAAGAAAATACCTAAATTTCATAAATTCTAAACTACAAATTAAAATTTGGTAGGTTCAAGTTCGGTTCCAAGATATGTGTATATCTTGGACTAATGTAATTTTGAAATAAACCCAAACATTTAAAATAATGTGGAATGCATGCTACATATTGACCTATACGAAAAGTTTATTATACCTACCTATTCATAATATTATTTGGAGTGAATTACTTACCCCAGATATATCCTGAGAAGATATTTCTTTTTCTTCCGCATAGTCTGTGACCTTCTCCAAGTCTGCTACTCCACTATCATGTTTTGCAGTCTTTTTCTGAGTTTTATCTTTGTCGTGTTGAATGTCATCAGTATCACCGTTAATTTCTTCGTCCGCCATTCTATTATTTATTTAGTACTCTTGTACTATTCGGCCTCCAACAGAAATTAATAATAATTACACTAACTATCTCTAAATAATCATAATACAGACCAACAGAACTTGTCAAGCAAAACGAAAATGATATCGAGATTGTTTTTTGAGGTTATTTTAATGTCTCGTTTGGAAAGTCGGTAAACGTCTGAAACCGCTTTGTCTATGATTACTTTTAAAAAAAGTTTATAATATTTTTATCATTTATTGGACATCATGAAATAATACTTAATTGTAATACAATGATAAGTAACAGTGAATAAATTCTGAGTAGTTAATATTTACGTTTTTACATAATTTAATTTGATCGGAAATGTCAAAAGTTGTGTTATTTTAGAACGAAAGGCCGTAGAGAATTGTAAAAGGCGAAGAGGAGTAGTACGTTTAGATAATTGATACTTCAATCCACTAAACATTATATTTTTTTATTTAAGAACTAAGAATAATAATCATGATTAATATCGAGATCCATTTTAATCATAGATTGGTTTTATGAAAACAAAAATGTGCTTAACAAACCTTTAATGTCCCTTAGAACAGTTTAATTGGGTGTCATTTACGTTTAATTATTACTTTATGCTTGATTTAATAAGTCCATCATTTGATTTGACACCCGTGACACTATTGACAGCACAGGATTTGCATTACCCCTTCCATACTATTGTATATTTCTTCTTCTTTTGTTTTTAATTCCTTAATTTTAAGGTACAATCAAATTCTTAAACTATTTTTCTTTTGAGTTCATCATTTCAAGTACATGGCAGTATCGGAAAGTGGTGAAAACGGCAGAAATTGGTAAGTGTACTTACTATTTGAATATGTGAATTGTCAAACTAATAATGGATATTCGCCCTTGACGTTTCATTTTATTTCAATTTTACTCACTTATGAGTTTATTTTTTGGTTCTTGATGCATAATTAGTGGCATTAAAGCTATTCGTTTCATGTACCATTGTTTGGTATTTCAATGTGACGTCAAGGCAATATGGAGAACGATTTCATTTGCTCGCGATAGCTCGTGTTTGTTTCGAACACATTTGCCTTTCTAGTAATTTCACCAGAGCCTCCTTCGTGAAGTTATGCGCATACATGTATGAAATATTGCTGTTGCTTTATTCTTGTTTCATTAAAATAGTATCAAATTGGTTAGTGACCTTGAACCATGGTGTTATGTACTTAAGTTATACCATGTGTTGGCAAGGGACTTAAATATTTTGTACGCTAGCTGGCAGATCTTTAATTTCTTTCCAATTATCAGAACAATACACACTGTTTAGTCACAAAATGTTTCATAAAAAGGGTCATGTTAAAATGTTATTCATAACAACAACATCAGAAACTTAAATTTTGATCAAAATAAATTTTAATTATGTATATTATATGTGAGCAAATACAATCTATGTATTTAAGATAAAAGATATTTTTCTATATGGAAGATCATTAAACATTACACTACACCAATAATTTTATTTTATTATTAGGTAACATGCATAAACAACTTTTTTATTTGTTTATCATCATGATTTTATATTTCCATGTAATAAGAACATAATACATTTAGAACTATATATAAAAAAGAGATGGGATTGTTTGTCACATGGTAATGTGTTATATTTCTGTTTTAAATTTTAAAAATAGAATGAATCTATTGCTGTCTAAAAAAAAAAGACTGGCATGATCACACTACACATTCCAATTTTGAACTAGCTTTATCATGTTTACACTCAAGAAATCTTGACACTATTCCACTCTCTCCTTGACCCAGCTCCTGGTGCAGTCATAAATACATTTTAATGATGGCAGCACTGCATCTGATTGTATTCATAAATGATTTAACCCTTATACCCTGTCCTATATTGAATTGCAATTATTCTCCAGCAAAATACTGGCACTGATTGAATTGCTGTTTTCTTATTTGGGTATGTGCTTTTTTTTCTCTAAAAGTAGAATTGTTTATTTTTTTTTAAATTATGTGATGAATTTTAGTCTCTGCCTAAAGTAGGATCTAAAGGATCTAAATAACAATGTATTTAGGTAGGTGAATAACTCTTTGTTAAAAAGCCCTGAAGATAAATCTAGGGTAGGTGTTAAAAAATTGGCATTACATCTCTTTTTTATGTTATTCTTCATATTAAGTAGCCATTTGTTTGTACAGGACAGATAGGTTTCATGCAATAGTATGTGAGGTTATACAAGTAAAGGTTAAATAGCATACCTCTATTTTATTTTTTTGCTTATCTATTATTATGTATTTCAGCGTGAAACATGAGTTTATTTGTATGAATGGCGGATTTATAACTAAAGCAACTCTCCCAGTCAATCTTAATCCCTATTACACAAAATGTCCTATATTGAGTACAAATTAAATCAAAAGTATTGTAATGTTAACTTAAATCTCAACATGCCGCAGTGTGCCGCAGGTGTTCGTGGGTGGCACAAATCACTTACCATCGGGAAACCGGTCTGATTGTTTGCCTCCCATTCCATACAAAATATTTATTTCATTTGCTTCTTTATTCAATTTTTTCTGGTATGTAGTAGTTATCCAGATATCTAAGTATTGTATTTTTTGTTAAAATATCTTAAAAAATTAAGTAGGTAGTTTCATAGTTACTAACTTTTAATTCAGAATAGCAGGGTAGGTATATGAATATTAGTATGAATTTTACCTATGTTGTAATTACAGGTACACTTGTTTGTTATATTTCTACTTTACCTATTTTCCTCTATCCCTAGTTGGAAGTTTCCATTAACACTCGAAAAATAAACTTACCTGCTAAAATACAATAAAAATTTAGCATTTTCTGAAGTAGAAGCTAAAAGTAAGAAAAAACACGAGAACTTTTCTCTTGCTTTTGAGTGCATTCGACATGTGATACTTCATTCTTAGTTACACGTTTTACCGCTAGATGGCGCGCCCACTCGGCATTTCAAATAATAATTAATCGATGCAGATTTATTTAAAAAGGGAATCGTGCCGTCGGTAACGTACCTAAATTGATTTAGATGAATAATGGAGTAATTTAATTTTGTTTTCGTATTGTATTTTTTGCAATTTTTTTTTTGTTTTTGTAATTTATCTTTACCGTTTTTAGGTGAAAATTACTTTTTTTTACATGGCCTTGGGTAACCACATGTATGTACCAATTATCGTCCTCCAAATTCGTATTTTAAGGTTGATCTAAAACAGTTAAAGGCCTTATCATCTGTTTTTGATCTATTATTAGATAGTAAAACATGTAACGTTACTCCAACGCGGAAGCCTAGCGTTATTAACAGACAGGGGCACTCTCAATGCCGTTACTACTTTGAATCACTGGTTTTATTTCATTTTCCTAGGACACGCGTCACGTGTCGCTGAAATTGTACTTTTAACTTCTTGAAAATTGGTACAGGTAATTAGAAAAAATAGATTCCATTTCATTGGAGATTTCCAATTATTTACGGTTAAACAATATTTAAAATTACTCTACTTACATAATCTCACAAGTATAGAGGATGTTCGCGCCGTTTATAGAGTCTATGGTCTTGACATGAAAACATGACCAATAAAGAATATTGAAAAAAATGAATATGCATTTTTTTCGTCAACTTACGACAGCTAAGCTGATTGGATTAATTGGATATTACTCTTTTTTAATATCAAATCGATAAGCAGTATCAAACACCCTCATATACCCCATAAAATGTTTTTAAATTGTATTTATAAGTTTTTGTTATTAGTGCAAAGTTTCGTGAAATAAACTCGTGTGTTATGTTTATTAACGCCTGACCGGCATGAAAAGCGATTTACTAGCACCTGTCGTACGCGTACCCAAGGTGTTTTTACAAGCTTTTTTAAATTACTATTTACGTGGATACAACAGGTGTTGCTGACACAGAATGGCTTCAAAATATAATAAATCTTTCTTGTTTATAGTTTAACAATATTCTTGAAATGTTTATGTCTTGTCCTATATCTATATCACAAATCACAAATATCCTTTTTATAGCCTTTTACGTAGGTTAGATCAATTTGATAAAAAAATAACAAATCCAAAAAATCGAATGTGATTTATGAGTGTTTAAATTAAGTGCTTATAAGGCCATCTACACTACAAGTAAAACCTTATTTTTAGAATTTAAATAATAATCTGTATTAACATTCGTTAGTTTTTACTAAAAAAGAATTTTATTCCGTAGGTCTGTAAGATCATGCCGTTGTTGCTGTATACTGTCCGCTAGGTGGCGTTGTCCGACATGAGTAGCCCATTAAAATATTTTAATTTTATGGATTGACCTCGGTGTTCTTATCCTAGTTGATTATGAATTGGTTACAGCTTTCCATAATTTTGGTTGACCTGATTTTTTATCATATCCGTTGAATACGGGAAAATATTAACAATGTTCGTTGGTACTTCATTAATGCGAACCTTGACACAATTCGGACACATATTCAGGAAATTATCATGTGTTTTACGAAAAAAAAACCCAAATGTAACGCTTCTATTTTTCCCTTGTGTTTGTATTATTTCCATTTTAAACATTTTGTTGCGAAAACTTGATCAGAATTGTTGCTACCTTATTTTAAGTACTTACATATTTAATTATTTTTATTTGCGAAAATTTGTTGAAAACTTCTCCAAAACAGTAATGATGTAAAATATTCATACGACCAGTCTAAGCCAGTCTTATTAGCAACCACAAATTACAAGACCTCAAAAATAATTAATAAAATTTAGCTTAACTTCGACGACTTTTTTAAATCAACTTCCTGAAATCCTTGAAATAAGAATAATTATAAAGCATAGTATTAAAAAAATATTTTCATTTTAATTATTTAAATCAAAACATGGAAAGAAAGTAATTGTTTTCACATATTTTATGAGATACTCAAGCGAAAATAATGTAAACATATTAACCAGGCGAAATCTGTTATAATTATGCAAAACTTTAGGTTGGCAATTAAAAAGAAATATTCAAGTTGGTTGTTGATATGTAACGGTCAAACTTTGAACGTAAATATATGAATATTTTTCTTAGAAAATCCCTATATTATACGAGTTAGATTCTCATGAGAAATGTCCACCTTATTACTATGCACTGCTTATCCAATTTACATAAATATATTTTAAGAAAAGTAAAACG